TGGTTTTCTAATAACTATTTTAATTATTAATAGTGAAAGTCTCTTGGTCTCAAATTTTTCCATATATTTTTAATTAAGTTATTTAATTTGAGGTGACTACGTGTTCACAAGTAGTATTAATGCATTTTGTAGGGAGAATCTGTATAATCATTCCCAGGATCTCCAATGGCAGCGTCTTATAAAACTGTACAGTGACATAATGTTGCAAGACTATAGCTGTGACCAGTGAAGGTATAGAGTGCCTTCCAGCCCGGGAGCATTCCTGGGGTGGACAGCACTTGCCGGGTGAGTTGCGGCAAGTGGAACGTGGTACGTTCAGTTTCTGAGAAAACCAAAGCGCTTTTCAGTGTGGCCATTGTGTCCTATAGCCCCGCTAGCTTCATAGGAGCTTCCGGTTTCACCTCTGTCCCCACTAACGTAGGATGTCCCACTCCTGCACTGAGCTAGTTCATAATGATATCTCTGTGTATTTTTAAGTTGCATTTCTCTATAGTGGCTGGTGGTGTTGACCATCTGCAGTCCATGAGTCTTTCCGGCGCTATGCTTCTTTACCTCTTTGGCCTGTTTTCTAGTTGTGTTCTATTTGTGCTTTTCTTGTTGAGTCTTCAGAGTTTACTATAATTACTGCACATGCCAGATCCTGACCTTTTGCATGTATGTGGCGTGGAAGGATTTTTCTCCCAGTCTATTGTGAATCCTTCCATTCTCTTAGCCAAGTCTTTTGTGAAGAAACCTCATGATTTCTATGACATACAGCACATTAATATTTCCCCTTCTATATAATTATAATTTTGGCATTCAGTTAGGAACTGTTTGAATTTTGATAGAAATTGTGTAAATCCGTGTATCAGCCTGGGGAGAATGGTAATCTTTACATGCTGAGTCTCCATTCATTTCCTGGTACAGCATTACACCGTGGTATACATTTATCAGGTTAGGTTTCCCTTTTTCTTCTGCATTGCATAGTTTTCAGTGTAAATGGTTGCATGTGTTTTCTTAGTTTTGCACCTAAGCATTTTATATTTTTCATGTTATAAATGGTGTTTATTTTTAATTTTGGTGTCTGTCTGTACATTGCTATTATGTTGAAATAAAATTGATTTTATGTACTATTGTGTGTCCTTTTGATCTTAAGTGCTGTACTGGCTCTGTGGGTTTCTGGTAGATTCCTTAGCAGCTGATTTTGAGAGGAGCTCTCTGTGTAGTTCAGGCTGGCGTTGAACTCACAGAGACCTTCCCGCCTCTGTGTCCCCATTGCTAGAATTACAGCTATGAACTAGCATGCTGTAGGATTTTCTATGTGGAAAATCATGTTACCTGCAAATACTAAAAACCTGATTTCTCCTTTTGTGACCTATATGTGTGTGTTTCCTTTGATTGTCTTACTGTGGCAGTATCTTTTATCTTATATTGAATAAGTGTGGTAAGGGCAGATAACCTTCCATTTTGCCCAGTCTTGAGGGGCAGAATTTAGCCTTCTACCACTGAATGTGGTATTAGCTGTACATAATTGATACATGTAGTTAGTCAAGTAGAAGAAATTCACCTCAATTCATGTTTTACTAAAAATATTTCTCACTGTTAATTGTTCAACTGTGCGAAATATTTTTTTCTGCACACATTGCTATGTGATTTTTAGTTTTAGGCTCTTAGTATGGCAGGTTACACTGCTTGAGTTTTGAAACACTCAGTTGTCTTAATATTTGCCCATGGTGTCCAGTTCTTCTTATATATTAATAATTCTATTTTTTGTTTGTTTGTTTTTTAAAATGACATTTGCATCTATGGCCATACCGGACATTTCTTTGTCCATTTGTTTTGTGGTTACTGACTTTTGGTGTCAGAATTCTTTACATTCTGCAGGCCACCAGTCTACGCTATCACAGACTATGCAAGTTGGAGCAGGCCCCAGGTCCACTGCACCACGCAGAGGCGGGGCCTGAGGATGGCTGCTGGGGTTCTGGCTGGGCCTGAGAGAGCCCCTTCCTGGGGCATGGACTGCAGCTTCTGTCTCTGCTACACAGCCCTATAGCAGTCAAGCCTTTGAAGGAGGGCACATGATGGGTTCTAAAGCACAGATGTTTACTAATAGTGTAAAATAAACCTAAAAGGGTCCCATCCATCTGTTGTATGGAATTGCTGTGGATCTCTAAAAGGCCGGTAGAATTCCCAGATAAGAACAGTTAGTGTGGAAATTTATTTGGAGAGAGTTGTGCTGGACACAGTACAGAATGGTCTACACCATCCACTTCCGGTGGGGTGCGCTATGTTTTGAAGGCAGGGGTTGCATCGTGGGCTGTAGGAGGTTTGGAGGTCGGTCCCCATGGCCCCTCTCTCCACCTGGGAGGACTGTTGTGTCTGTAGTCCTGTTCTTCCTGCCACCACCTCCAGTCTCAGCTGATTCTCTGTCGGTTGTGCTTGTTATTTGTCAGTATCATGAACATTTTCAAAGAGTGAACTCTTTGATTCATTGTTTGTCTTTGTTGTTTAAAATTTCAAACTTAGGACTTCTGCCCTTGTCTTTCCTTATTTTTTGCTTCTGTGTGTTTGTTCACTTTGCTCTTCCTTTTCTAGGCTTTTGAAATGGGGTCTTAGCCCCATGTCACCCCGTGTGAGTGCTTTCCTATTGTCTAATATAATTTTTAGTGTTATTAATTACCCTCCAGGCACTTCTTAACTGTTACAGACCATAATGTGCTACACTTGCATTTCTGTTTAGTCCAAGGACATCTTTATTTCCCTTGGAACTTCCTCCCTGACCCATGCACTCTTCAGAGGTGTTCTGTGCAGTTAGCCAGCGATTAGGGATCTTCCTGTCAAGCTCTTCTGTTACACATCTCTAACCTGATGCCTTGCAATCTGCACACTTGGTGCAAATGCCTTCTGTGCAATCTCTGGAGATTTGCTCTGTGGCTTAGAAGACAGTGCACCTTGGTGTGTGATCTGGGGTACTGGGCGGAAGTGTGCGTTCTGCTCGTGTTGAGTAGAGTGCTCCACTTAGAGATTAAATCCTTTAGCTTGTTATTTTTGCCCTGTATCCATTTCTTTTCAGCCACAGGAGAGCCCAAAGGCTGTGTCACTCACTTTTTCTTGAGGGGACAATGTCTGTGCCAGCTGGCTGCAGTCTGCATTGCATGAGGTGACATGTAAGCCACAGGACAAAGCTTCTGCAGGGCCCATGGAAGACAGCTGTTGGTTTCCTCTCCATCCCTGTCAGTGAAGTTCTGTAGCTCAGGTGGAAACCAGAGTTCAGGGTGGCTGCTGTAGTTCACGAAGGTTGGGGCAGCTGGGGGGTAGGTGAGAACGCTCACAGGGCTCTGAATCTCACCCACTGGAAGATGGGATGACGGGAAAGGCAAGAGAGAAGAAGGAAGAGCAGAGGGGGCGTGGCAGTCACATCACACTTGGGAGCTTGCAGAGATAGACAGGGAAGTGGGCAGGAGAAGGTGGATCCCATCAGGATCCAGCTTTGAGAGACCACCTGAGGTCTCAGGACCTCAGTTGTAAGGCACTCCTGGAGTCTAGTCCAGTCCCCTCCTGAAGCACTGCCTCTCATGGGTGAACACAGTTTGCCAACTGGATGGTTTCATACTGATTTCTTATGAACACTAACACACAGTATATATAACCTGCTCTGCTCTTATGTTTTAAGACAATGGCTTCAAAATTTGTTTCTAGCAAATTAAGTCTGTACGTTATGGCCATCTTCATACAAGGAATTAATGAATTAAAGACAATAACCCTGAAGCAAAACAAAACATTGAGGTATAAATGCATGCACTGAAGAACAAACCAGCACGGGCTAAGTGTGAGTAATAGTGTAACAAGTATTTTACTAATTAAACACAGTCTCATTTTCATGCCAAGCCTGGCAGTCCTGCTGTTTGTTCCACCAGTACTTTTTGGTGTTTGTGCATTGTAAATCATGTTGATGCAGTCCAGGGCTTTGAGACCAGAGCCTACGGCAGGTGTTGAGAGCTATTTATGACTGCAGAGTGTCTGGCAGTCACATTTCCTCCTGTAGGAGCAGACATTCTGCTGATCCGTGCCGCCACATAGCTTTGTCGCTGTTGTCAGGCTATGTGTGACCCTAAAGCATGTGTCTACACAGCAACATATTTAATTAGAAGTTGTGGGATAAAAGATACACCCAGGGCCAGGGATTTAGCTCAGTGGCACAGCACCTGCTTGGCAAATGTGAAGCCCTGAGTTTAATTCCCAGTACCCTCCCCCAAAACGCATGCAATCTCTTTGGAAAAACCATTAAGTTTCAAAGCATTGTGCACCTCGGTGTGCTACTGCATGCGCTCAGGAGTCTGTCTTCAGTATGTGATCAGAACCTTGAGATGTGTCCACACATAGTAGTCTGTGAAATGTATTTCTAAGAATACCAAACAATTTTCTGGATAAACAGACATATTTCTATCCCTGTGACTTCCCCTTGAGGGTAAATGATTTTTTATTTTATGCAGTGATAAGTAGATATCTGCTCAGAAAAATTAGTTTGTTGTGGGAAAATATAAGAATACACAGCTTAAATATGAGATGTGATAACCATTATTTAGTAATTTAGGAAATACTGAATTAATTAATTAATTTGGTACTGGGTGTCAAACTTGGGGCCTTGTGCTTGCCAGTCAGGTGCTGTGCTGCTAAGCGAAATCCCCAACAGAAAATAGTGAGTTCAAACCATGTGAAAAACCACATGGGCCCCTGTGTGGTGTATGGGGTGATTCTGCTCTGCTGTGTCTCCTTCACGGGAGGATTTGCTCAAACAAACATATGAGCGTGTTTGGTTCTGTTCATTTCCACCGTTAGCAAAGTTCCAGGTATGGCCCCTCTGATGGTTTCATGGCCACATTAGAACAAAAAGCTGTGGTTAAGGGGCATTGAGCCACTTCAACAAGTAAGCTTCCCGCACAGCTTTGTGGTCTTAGCATCCGTGCTTTTAAGTGTAACTGAAATCTTTTCAGCGATTCCCTTGTCTTTGTTCTTTTCAGGTTGTCGGGATTTCAGCTCCCCTCCTCTATAGTGAGCACGGGATCCATCCTCACCCTCTGGTTCACCACCGACTTCGCGGTGAGCGCCCAGGGCTTCAAGGCACTGTACGAAGGTAGGAGAGAAAGTGCACTGGGCGACCCCAGGCCCCTGGGACCTGAGGCACCAGACACAGCAGTGATGGACACTGTGCAAAATAATGCACTCTGTCAGGCCACAGCCTGCTGCAGACTGTGGGACTCTAGGCAGAGGCTGGCAGCGGGATAACCCTGTCTTGCCCTGATTGCCATTTCTCTAGTACAGCCGTAAAGGGTTTTTCCCTTGTGGGTAGGAATTCTCTTAACACTTAGTAGCCACTGGTTGAAAAGCATTTTTGTTGTGCCTCGAGGTGACACAGAGTTCATTTTCACTGTAGAAGAGTTTTCTAAACTCTGGACAGTGTGACTTCTAATCAGGATTGAGGAAGGCAGCTTTATGAAAGAAGTTTTCTTGTCAAAGGTGAAGTTTTTAGTTGAGAAAGGTAATTTGGTTTTACCGTTGTTTGATTCTTGAAATGACAAAAAGTTTTTCTATTTTCTTGGTTATTTTTTTCTTCGGCTAAGATTAGATATCTTTGCATTATGCTGTTGTGTTTTATATCACTGTTTTTTTTGTTGTTGTTTATTTATTTTGCTTTGTTTTGTTTGGTACCGGGAATCAAACTCATGACCTTGCACTGGTCAGACAGGCGCTTATGCCACTGAGCTAAATCCCCAGGCCTGTTGTTGTGATTTAAACTGGTTGGGTAAAAATTTACAAAAATAGTGATTCAATCCAATTAAAAAAATTGAACCCATGATATTAAGTGAAAAACTGAAGCATGTCTTCTTCAGTCTTGTTTTACATAGAGATTTTAAATTTTCTTTCACATGGGATGAAAGAGCCATAATATTTAACAAGATTTTAGTGGTTGTGAATTTAAAACCTGTGGCTGAAGCCTGGACCAATCTGGATGAAGCATGTGGAGTTTGTCTTGCTTATCGTTTTTTTTTTTCTAAGTCACATCTGTGAGGGCTTCAGTGCACTTGGGCAAAGCATTCTTTACGGAAATTTAAAATTCTACACGTGCTTTCACTGAACTCAGTTGTCGTGCAATTTTCAGAAAATATACAAATCATGTTCTTTTTGTATACAGTCTCACTTCTCCTTTCCTGTAAAGTTTGTGGGGACCACGGCTGAGGATGGGACACTGTGGAGTATGCCTCATGGCTCTCAGGCTGTGACATTTAAATACAACCCAGCGTCAGTAGCTGGACAGGGTCGCTGACCTTTGAGCCGATTTCCATGGAAGGACAATTCCATAATTTGAGACTCATGGATGCTCTTAACTCTGGAATCGGGTTGTCCCTACAGCTGCTTCACACAGACCACAGATCGCAAGACTTCTTTCTTCCTTAACTTGGTCAGCTCGGCTGACACGCCATTCATTCCGGATCTTGGGGTGTGAGGGGGGCGGCTGTGTCCAACCCACACATGTGGGAGTTGCTGAGAAGGCAGCTTGTTCTTAGGTTTTCTAGAAACCCTGCCAATTCCTCCCCTTCCTCACATATTTGATGCCTCAAAGCCATATTGTTCTGGATTTCCTGTGATTGTTCTTCTAGATGCTGTTGGTTCTGAGTAATTACCAAGTGAATAATTCTATCAAACCTTCCTTGGATATTGTTGATTTTACCAGCTGACTGATGGTATTATATAGAAAAGATTGGTATTCAGAAAGACCAATCAGAAACATGGCTAGACATCTAAATAGGGGTATAAATCAAGCTAAATGTAGTTTAAAATGCACTATATGTAAAGTTTTTAAATAATATGTATTTTCAACAATGGTATTATAATGTAGTCTGATATTCATAAGTGCAAGCCTGCATTTTGAAAGAAGAAAATACAATTAAATACAAAGCCAGTGGTTCCAAGAAGATTCTTGGGTAAAGCAAAGCTAATATGATGTAAAAATCTATTTTCATTGAGAATACCTTAAATATGATTATTTACCTTGTAGTTGAAAAAAGGAAATGTTTTAGACAAAATACTTTTATGCAATATGTTGATAATAATTTACTAATTATACATATTCAACACTTACTTCGGCTTCCCAAAGTGGCTTTAAATATATTAGGTGTATATTTTATACATGAAATCTTTAAGAAACTGTGACTGTCACAAGTGACTTGAATAAATGCTCAAGACATAGTAAGGTAGAATCCAACATTAGTAAAGGCAAAATTACACATGCACAGCAACAATTTGGTTCACAAACAGAAGCATTTGGCTAAATTTTGTTTTTGTTTGCGGACACACCATGGCCGTATTTCCCCCACAAACACAAATGTGGACACCTTGTCCAACATCATAGAACAAATTAAATTCAGGAGCATACCAGAAAATTGTTTAATACACACACACACGCACACACACACACACACACACACACACACACACACACACAGGTGAAACAGCTTGTTTATTAAAATGAGAAAAGTAATTGCTAATATAATTAACCTATGAAACTCCCCTAAATTGTAAGAATTCTTCTTTCATGTTTTTGTCTTAAAACATTTACCTAAAAGACTCAAAGTGTAAGAATTCTCCTTTCATGTGTTTACTGTCTTAAAACATTTCCATTTTATTTTAGGTTTCATTCACTCCATTAACTGGGGCAGTGTGCTTTACTAATTTTCATGCCACTCTGTGTGTGGGTGCAGAAGTAAACTGACTGATGGGCAGGTGAGTGAGTCGAAGGAGAAGGTTTTAGCTAGAAAGATGATAAGATGGATAGAGTGGGCTGTTGATGGGACAGATACATGGATAGATGACGGATGGATACATAGAATGGCAGGTGAATGGATAGAAAGAAAAGAGAAGGAAAGAAAGAAAGAAAGAAAGAAAGAAAGAAAGAAAGAAAGAAAGAAAGAAAGAAAGAAAGAGACTGACAGGTAGATGGATGGAAGGATGGACCGGTGGATGGATGGAATGATGGATGGACAGATGGTAGGTATCCCTGTGTAAAGCTTTTACATGCATTTTTTTTGAATCTTCACCTGATTTCTATAATCTGTAAAGTTATTATGTTCAATCAAAAAGAAGAATGTTAAAAATCCATACCAACCCTAAACTAATTTTGGCAAGTGGCTCAAAAACTCCTCGGTGTTAAAATTGACATTTGTGAATTTGACTTCCTTTCTGGTTAAGGCACAATTTCAAACAGACCTTCCTTTAAATACAGTGAAGTGATTTAAAGCCAAACATTTTATTCCCCATTGTGTGGACAGACAGATACTCTCTTAAAAATAATTCCTTGTAATACAAGCTGATAAATGAAAATCTTGCAACCTGTGAATGAGTTAATTAATACCACCTTATTTTTATACCTTGTATTTATTTTTCAGGACAAAATGAGCTATATTTTCATATGGTCTGAAACCTTCACCAGAGAAAAGTGACTCAGGCCTCCACAGATCCGTTTTATTTTGGGTTTCGCTACGTAATTAACTACAGGGCCAGGAGGGGCTTCATGCAGGGCCTGGGCTTCTTTGTTGGCTGAGTATATTTGGCATTTGCTTCTGACACTCCTCAAGCGGAGTTTTCTTTCCTTTCACATCCCTGGGTCTGGATTTAGAAAGAGCTGCTAGATTATTACCCTTCAAGCTCAAAGCTTTATTTAGAATGTCAGAGATGATTTCCTTTTCCCTTGAAGTGATTACCCTAACTCTGGGCTGAATTAGCATGGAGAGGGCGGACCTGCCTGGCAGGAGGGCCAGGCTCCGCCTGAGGACAGAACAGCGTGGATGGAAGGCAGTCCAGCTCAGCCTGCACTGCCTCCCTGCCCAGCTTTATGACAGTTACGGAGGCAGATGCAGGGCACTGGTGCCCCTCTCCACCTGACGGCTTAGATGGCCGAGCCCCATTTTCCCTCAGCAAGGAGGCCCGCGTACCTGCTAAAGCGGGCACCGGTGGCCTTCACTTCTGCCTCCCGCAGCTGTAAGCCTCTATGCTCCTTTTGCAGGAGCCGCCTCCAAACCTTTGTCATTGCTGAGCACATTCATTGAACGAGTTCTATCGCTCTGCCTGCTGTCTTAAAACTGTGTCAGTCAGTGTGTCTCATGTGTGTCATCGTTGCCTTAATAAAATACAATTTAACAAACAAGCGTTACTGTTAGGATGTAAATAGCAGCGTCTCTGAAAGGTGCAGCTAGAGGGGAGATGGCTGCTTTCCCAAGGTTCCTCTTCTAAACGATCAGCATGCAGACATTCAGAGCTACCGCCGCAGGACACAGCAGCCCAGGTGTGGCGCATGGTTAGCTAAGACAACTGCATCACTGGGGGAAGGAAAAGGACAAAACAGCGTAGGCAGCCCCGGGGCTGCTGAGATCAGCGCCCACACAGAGCAGTGTCCTGTCTACTTCCACCCAACCCGCACCGGGCTCGGCCCGTGGAGGCTGCATCTCCGGAGCCTGCGCTGCTGGCCGGGGAGGCTGGGCATCGTCCTTGCCTGACAGTCGGGGCACAGTCACTACCTTCCCGCAGAGATGCTGCGTTATGTGCCCTGTTTCCATGGTTCTTCCTGGCTAACGGGCGTAGGATTCATCGGGTATGTGAGGGTCTCCGCCGACGAAAACTGTCAGATGGGCTCTCATTCCCAGGGCATTTTATCAGGCCCCTGGGCTCATCGCGACCTGTGTTTCTGTGGTGGTGCCTCTTCACCCAGGCAAGAACCCACTGGGTTATAAGCTGTTTTTCCAGTAGCGGTAGAGTGAAACACAGTGAATGACCCTCACTGTCTATGTAAACAGTCTAGTTCCCACACTCTGTAATTTATTAATTTGACATTTTAATTTTATGTATTGGTTCTGGGAGCTTAATTAACATGAATTTAACCTTGAGAGAGGATTTGGCTCAAAATCCCACAAAACTATTATCTGGTTCAACCGAAATAGATTATTGTAAATTCATTAAGACAAGTTCTAGCTGTGAGGTCAGCTGACAGCACACCTCCACCCCATCACACACATACACACCACACACGCGTGCATGCACACACATTCATACACACTTGCATACATGTAGCTTGTTATTCAT